AAGCAGAATTTAGCCACAAGACAAAACCAAAGCATACTTTCACAACTTAAAAGATATACAAAGCCACTGACAACTTTGCCTCTACAATTAAAGTCACATGTATTTTTTAAATTGGGCCCATATTGACATAGTTAGAGCAAAATAAAAAAGTAAATGTAATTATATTCAAAAGTAAGATGTGTGAGTTGATAGAGCTAATCTTGGTTACTAACTTTAGATAACTGCTAAATTAAAGAAAAAAAATAGTCACAATACACTTCACCTTCAGGCTGCTCGTTATTTTTTGAGGTTTGCTGAATCTTTTTCTCCCAGTCATTACGCTGCTGAATCCAATCGTCCCTGTAACCATTGCTAATCAGTTTGCTGAAGTTTACTGGTTCATTGTTTTTCTGACCAGGCCTATACAAAAATAAATAAAAATAAAATATATATCAGACAAGAGTTCAGAAATAAAACATAAGAAAGAATTGGCAGCAACCATTTTATTTTACAGAAAGGAGAGTGGCATCTTATACCAAGTTCTTTTATATGCAAGTAAATAACAAAAACAGAAATGTCATTTATATTATTTATTTTCCCATGGTTTAATTAGCATAATATGAATTTAACATGCTTCTTATAAAATAATGCCATAAAGTTTGCATAATCAATCATAATTAACCATAGTTTTTATCATAATTAAGAGACAAAATTTTGTAGTCCTCATTCAACAAAACTCAATTAATGGGAGATTTGTGTGATTGAGGGCTGCAAGATTTGGCCCTATAGCAGAATGGTAAAGTGAGATGAAAAGGGTAATTCATGTCAGAAATGGAGAAGTAAAGCAAATAAAAGTCAACAAGTTCAAAAACTAGATTCCAAAGCAATGTTAACTCTAAGGGTATAGCTACACACATTTTGGTGTGAGCCTCCCAGCCTGGGTTGACAGGCTTGGGCTAGCAAGGCTCATATTAGCACTCTAAAAATTGCTGTACAGACAGCGCTTTTAATTTGCGGTTTAAGCTCTGAAGCCTACGGAGAGGGGTGGGCTTCAGAGCATAGGCTTCCATCTGAGCTGCAACTTCAAAGTGCTGTCTAGACAATTGCTTTTAGAGGGCTAGCCTGAGTCCCATTACCATGTCTGCCAACCCAGAAAGGCAACTCATTCTAAAATGCTGTGTAGAAATACCCAAAGTTACATAAATGTGGCATTTTCTATTTCCATTTTTGCCATTATATATACATAATGTTTTGTTCAAATTATTAAGCATAGATTATAAAACATATTGGAACTATACATTTATTCCTTTGTATTTTATAATAATTAAAATAAGTATTCTTTTAACAACTTGAAACCATCTAATTACACGCATAGCTAATTGATGTAATCGCATGTTCATATCAGTTACCCTGGTTTTCCCTCCTATAGTTTGTTACACCACTTGTGTCTTGTCTTAAATTAGATGGTAAACTCTTCAAGCCACGATGGTAACTTAATGTGTCTATACAGAACCCAGATCAAACAACAGTCTCAATCTTAACTGGATTCTTTGCACACTACTTTAATACAAATAGTGATAATGGACATTATGGTCCATTCACTGGATTGCACTGAGAACCAAAAACAATCACTATTTTAAAAAAAACTCTTCTGTTTTAAAAAAAAACAACAACAAGAAAGTACTGGATGTGCACAATAAACATCACTGTAGGAACCTAAAAGTTTTGAATGTACTGACTTGTGTGTGCTTACTTTTTCAATTTTGTAGTTATATTTAATGGTATATCCTAAAAATTAAATAACATGACTTAAGTTACTTATAAAACCATTTTAATATTTCAGATAGTACATGTGGTAGCCTGAGAGTCAAGGTAGCTCAGGCCCATTACAGATATAAGCCCATATCCCACAAACATTTATATAAGTGAGTAAAGTTAAAATGTTTTCAGAATCAGGGCCTTAGTTAATACAATGTGTGTGCTACTTACATAGGTGGAAAATAAAGCCTATTTCCCCCGTGGAATTCCTTATTTGCAGTAGAGGGTGGTATTCTGTTTGGGTATTTGGGGTTTATAGCAGGAAGCTTTACCTGTGTTAAAGAAAACCTAATTTAACAACAATGTTATGATTAAGGAAATATACATGATCAGGGGACATCAGAAAAAGGGATTACTTTGGTAGCTCTAAATATCTTCAGTATTTGCACAATTCAAGGAACTAGCAGTAAGTTTAGGGAAGTAAATGATAAAACTGAAGAAAATGTGGTAACCTTATTTATTTATCACTAGTTATATTAGTAGGCTTTTAAGTGACACCACTAATAAATCTGCTGAGCCATAAGCATTTCTCTCTGACAAAAAAGAATTGTAGTACCTTTCTAACTAAAACTAAGCCGCCAAATTAAAATTTAGCAGTCAAAGCTTCTCATCATGGCTCAGTCCACTGCATGGAAGAAATGAAAAAACTTTGAAGTTAAATCCTGGTCTGACTGAAGTCAATAGCAAAGCTCCCTTTGACTTCAGTGGGGTCAGGTTTCATCCCTGGTTTAAGAACCACAGTCCATTTGGTAAAGAAACATAGGGTCTCCCAGACAGTAATAAAGCCATTGTACTATATTAATCTGAGGTGGGAAATTCCAAATAATATAGACACACTGAAGGTGGCCTCAAAACTGAGCTTTTGCCCTCTTTTATTATGTATAAGGAAGACCTGAAAGGTGGTGGTTTTTAAATTCTGCTTGTTTATTTACACTGCAAATTCAGGTTCAATCTAGCATGGAATATTCTTTGATACTTGGAGACCTAGTGAAATGGTCACATCAAAAGAGCCAAGAGAGTAAACAATGAGTAACTAAAGAGAGACAGGAATCTTAATGGGACTGTTTAAAACTGTTTGTATGTGTTAACATCTTTATCCAAAATGTTAATTAGCAAGTGAAGTTACAGGAAGTCTTGGTTAAAGGTTCAATACCCTTGCCTCTTCAATTAAGGTGCAGAAGTCAAAATAAATATTCCCCAAACCTCTCAGAGGTCCTTCAGCAATAATAGAGAAGACCAAACCTGACTTTCCCAATATTTCTAAGGTTAAAAAATGCAGAAATGATGTTTTAAAACATTCTTTTAAGCTTCCTTTATACATCATAAATAAGCTAAAAATGGCACAAGCCCAATTTTTAAAGGTCACCTCTAAGAATTTTTAAGATCTTCTTTGTGTATTCTTTAGATTATTAGAACCAAAAAATATGTTCAAATATAATTTATCTACTAAAATATCTTATGTAGCTAGTTGAAAGTCAGTGTTACCATGAAATTCCAACACACCAGAAGATATAGATATAATCACTGCTATCATATTATTACAAAAGCTTCAAGATTGGATGATTAGAAGTGAAGTATATTGCTATATAAATTAGCTGTGTACTACTGGGCATAGAGCCATACTGTATCAAGTTGGATCTGATCATTACAAGAAGGTTATATATAATTGTTAGAGTACAAAATAATAAATATCAGAAATTGCAACTAGGTTGCAAGCCTTACAATATAATTTATTTTTATATAGTAACATTCATATGAAAATATAATTGAAACACCTCCAAAACAAATGCAGCTTATTCTTCTAAATACAAGTAAATGATGGAGGATGCAGGTAGCCCATGCAGATGTGATATGGTATGAATGAAGAGGAGTGCAATAAAAATGTGAAATGATTGAGCATGTACTAATTAGGAGGCCAGTGAAAGACAAGATACAATGAGAGGTGGTGAGGAGAGGAGGAAGAGGAGAGATGAATATTTGATGAGTGTGAGGAACTGGATCATTTCCCCTGCACCTCTATTTTATGGAGGACATATGAAGTCTAGGATAGAGCTTTTGTACTGATTCTGAAATGGAAAGACCGGGGTGAAATCCTGGCCCCCAGTAAATGGCAAAACTTTCAATGACTTCAATGAGGCCAGGATTTCACTTAAGGTGATGGATTCCAGCGTCTGGTCATGAGTAAGATGATGGGGTTATTTCATTGTGGACAAAATGATTGTTGAAGAGTTGGGGCTTAAAAATGAAGAGATGGGAGATACTGTTGTCAAAATGAAAGGAGTTTACATGAATATTAGTTTTATGTCATGGTGTCTTTTACCCAGACTTGGAAGTTGTAAATTCTAGTGATTTAGAATCATTCTCCTACATTATCAAGTACTGAAAAATTGAGGCTCAGTTTTTCTAAGTGATTTGTTTGTGCTTTATATTTCAGAGTAATATTCTTAGGTGCACTGAATCTGTCTTATTGTTGCCTTCCTCTATCTTCATTATCAGCATTGTGAGTATTTTTTTTTTATTTTTATCAATTTACATTTTCACAGTTGTGGGAAATTATGCAGAGTCACACAATGAGGGGGTCAGACAATAAATTGTTTAATGACAGTAGACACTGAGATTCAAAAAGTTAAAGCTTTATAACAGTTAAAACACAACCTGTCAACATCACAGCTCAAAATAAATAGCCTTAAATCAAACACTAATGAGATCTCAAGCAGCATTTTTCTAAGGCCTGATCTACACTGGAGGGTGGAGGGGAGGGGAATCGATCTAAGTTATGCAACTTCAGCTCAGTGAATAATGTAGCTGAAGTCGACATACTTAGATCTACTTACCGCGTGTCTTCACTGCGGTAAGTCGACGGCTGATGCTGTCCCGTCGACTCCGCCTGTGCTTCTTGCTCCGGTGGAGTACCGGAGTCGACGGAAGAGCGCTTGGCGCTCGATTTATCGCATCTAGACTAGACGCAATAAATCGACCCCCGCTGGATTGATCACTGCCCGTCGATCCAGTGGGCCATGTAGACAAGCCCTTACTTTGCCTATCCGTAAATTTTGATTAGTATTGATGGAAATATTTTTTCATTGATATGTATGTGTATGGTGAAATTGACATATATTGAAATTTGCTGATAAAAATCTAATCCTGCTGACCCTACACAAAGAGTACCACAGAAACACAGTTTGATATGGTTATGTATATTATGAACAGCAGATGGAACGAGAAAAACAGTCTGGTTTTGGCAGTGGAAAGAAACAGGAACATAAGATGGAAAAAAAAGAGAAGCCTAAACAATTACAAAAAGTAGGACAGGGAAAACAAAGTGCAGACGTAGGCAAAACCCTACTGCTTTTGATTTTCATTAATCATTTTTATTTGACTTGAATTTCAACAAACAGCCACATTGCAGCTGAAGGCCAAGGAATAATTCACTGAAGGTGCTTCCTGAAGCTCTGAAAACCTTACTTGATTATGGAAATGAGAAAACTAAAAAGCTATTTTGCCATACTTATTGTGTAGACTTGTGCTCAGACTGTGATCAAGGCAGACTCTCATATTTTCATAGTTAATTTTGATAATTCTCCTTTTATATGCATTTCATGGGAAAACATGAAACAAATTGTATGTAAATCAAAGATTTCCTTAAATTACAAATGAACTGGAGATCTCGGTTTCTCAGCTAGAAAACAGCTCATTCTTCATCTTAGGAAAATCTAACTAAATTGGGACAGATGTTGGATTTACGTTCAAAAATATAGTTCTTCTCTTCTCTATGAAAAGTTTTTCCAGCTGCCTTTATGCTAAGTATATATGAATCATCTGAAAGCCATTCAGGCTGCTAACCCACTTGGATAAAACAGCAGTCTCCAGGGCTTCTCAGGCAACAGCCACCACAGCAACAACTCAAAGAAGCCAAACTAGAGAGAATGCTATCGGGGACAATGAAGCCAAATGTCATTTGCTTTCTGCTAAGGAGTACAGTTCTTTACATTACTAGTAGCTGAAAGCTCAAGCAATCACCCGGGGGAAATTTGTACAGTCATCTTTGTAAAAAAGCAAAAAATGGCGGAGAAATTAAAAATTTGGAGGGTAACAAACTGAGAATCCCAGTGACAACCGAATGTGGTGATATTCTAAACATAATAAGCTCTCGGCAATGCCTGCAGCTGTTTCCATTGCTTCACATTGACTGAAAGACATTGTAGGCTTCAGAGTGATGTCGGGGGTTATTGTGTGTGCTGGTTCTGTCGTTGTGTGGGTGGCTGTGTTGATTTGTGTGTGGCTTGTACTGTGCTGGGAAATTTCTGTTGATCTGTGCTAGTGGGAAATGCGAAGCTATGTGTGTATGCGGTTATTGTGTATGCTGGTTGTGTTGTTGCATGCTTGGTTTTGAAGAACTGTGCCAGTTAGGCCAAGTAACTCAACATCTGTTCAGTCTCTCTCAAGCAAACAATGAAACTGTTGCATGAAAATTAGCTGTAGAGTAAGGGTGATGATTGGTTGAGTTATCTCTGATATCACAGAGATCTAGGACTCTTGGCATGGCATAAATACATGCCTTGCTGTAGCAGGGATGTAATTCATAAAAGTCAAAATGGCTGAGAACTTAAAAAATTGGATGGGAACATTCTGCAAAACCTAACGATAACTGAATCTGGTGATATTCTGAACAAAAAAATATAGCTTATAGCTGTTTTCATCACTTCACACTGGCTCTACAGACATTTTAGGTTTCAGCGTTACAAACTGTGACAATCATCGAATCTTATTACTGTATATAGATACAATATTAAAAGCTGTGTAACTGTGGTTCACTATTACTATATTTTAAAGTCATTTTATGGAACAGTGGGTCATTTATGTACATTCCAGTGTAAAGTGTTCCAATTTTTTTTGGAGACATTGACAATTAAAAAATTCTGTAAATAAATACATTTCTTTACATATGTTTTTTAAAACACCATCAATTACTAAATAATATAATTCTTTTAAATGCTCACATTTCATTATTTATGCTCTGCTTATTTTTGCATTTTCCTTAGCAATGAAGTTGATTCCAATGGGTGAAATTCCTCTCTGTGTAGGATATCAGCACAAAATGTATGCATAATTTCAGTCTGAATAAGTGGATCATAGGCCTTGTGCTAGCCTTTTGCATAGGAGTGAATTTCACATTCAGGTTCTTAGTTTCAAACATTACCTGGGAATGATTGTTTAAAAACAATTGCTTTCACTGAAGTTTTTTAAAACTTTGTAGATGAGTCTACTGGCCCTATATTTTATAAAAACGTGTCAGAAGCACTTAATTTTTCTAGGAATAAAGGGTAAAAAAATATGAGGAAGCAAAGAAATTTTAAGGTATCTATACTTGAAACCTACATTTTATTGTTAAACCTTTTTGCTGTTGCTTCTCATATGCTCATATTGTAAATAATGAGCTTTCCTATGTGTTAAATAAAAATAGATGAATTTAAGATTTCTGTTTTTAGCAACAAGAGTGAGAGAGAGGAAAGAAAGCTGAGTAATTAATGTGGTTCAAATAAAAATCGGTAGTAATATTGCACATCTCTGTGATTTAGTGTTAAAGCCTTATTCAAGTCTAGGAGTTCTGAGATTACTCTTTAGAGTTTTTAAAACTAGTTTTTAAATTGTATGATGTGTCCTGCTAACTATATATAGGAGGATTCTGACATAATTTTACTACTGAGCTCAAATATAGTCATGGGGGAAAACAGGTTTCTTCTTCCATAGTAACGGAGCAAGACCAGTAGTTCACTTGGGAGCTTATTTTGAGTTCCACTGCGTATCAGTTGGGAATCAAAGACCAGAGATAGAAATGGCCAAAGCACAGAACTGGTACACAGGAGATTTGAGTTTTAGTACCAACTGTGTCACAGACTCCCTTAGGGACTTGAGCAAGTCATTTACTCTCTGTATCCCCAGTTTTCCTATCTGTAAAACTGATGACAATGACTGCCTACTTTACAGGTGGCGAGTCTTAAATCATTAATTTTTATAAAATCCTTTGAAGTCCTTGAAGATAAGGCACTATAACAGTGAAAAATAACTGCATTATAAAGCATCTCTAAAAAAAGGAAGAAGATTGAGTGACAATGATCAGGTTATCCTTTTTAAAAAAAACCTTTTTAATTTTTGATACTGAACTTAGTTTTTAAAAATGTGTTTGAAAAATTTTAATTCTAATCACATACCTACTGCTAAATCTTGAATAAAAGTGATTTAAAAATGCATAATTCCCAAGAAGTTGTTTACAATACAATGTAAACTGTCCTGTACACATAACAGAGTTAATAGATGAGATACTAGGAGATAAGTCTTAAAAAAAGAAAAGAAAACAAGAGTAATTTTAGCCCTAGAAGAAATAAAATTTTAGAAAAGAAGTTGAGACAGTCAAGTGCTGTATTATAACATAAATTAAGTCCGCTTTTGGGAACAGTACTTTTTGGAAAGGCAATAGGTACTCTTGGACAGTATTGTAAAATGATTACTGCATTAGGCAAATTTCTTTTCTGTCAAACCACACCCCTATGTTAGTGATATACGCACCTCTTTTGTGTTGCCCACATGGACCTCAACTTGAGCAGCATTTTCCTGATAGGAGAATTAGTGAATATTGTAACTTATGCAAGAGACATGATTTAAGATGCTTGCCTTTTGTAAATTGCAATAAAATTTACTGATAGTTGTTGCAAAATTTGACTTGCAGGCTATCACAGGTAAAATGGGGGAAAAGACCAGCCCTGGAAACATTGTATCACTGCCTTAGGCAAAAGGAGTCCCACTGAAATACCCTTGCATACCTCTCTATCTGCCAATGCTCAAAAAATGAAATAATGGCTAGGAAGGAGGGGGAGAAAAGTTACATTTTAGGATGGTTATGTTAAAAAAAATCTGTACCAATACCTAAATGTCAAATTTCAAAGATTCAAAACAATAAGGCAGCATGATATAGTGGCTTGGGAACTACACTAGAAGTGGGAGGCTTGGGTTCTATCCTCAGCTCTGTCGCTGACCTAGCGTGTAATCCTGGGCAAGTTGGTTCATCTCTTTGTACATCTGTTTGTCTGCATTGCCCGTTTAGATTGTAAGCTTTTTGGGACAAGGTGTGTGTCTTTCTATGTGCCCACACAGTGCCTAGAATAATAGGACTCCAATTTTGATTGGGACACTTAGGTGCTACTGTAATGAAAATAATTAATAATGTGTTAATGAGGCCATTAGAAGATGCTGCACTATCACCAGTACGCTGTTGATACTCTGTTCAGCATCTCTTTCCTTTAAACTTTGATTCCATGATTTCTTAGCATTCCTCATGCCAAATCAATGTGAGGTCATCATGGATGAAATCTAGCTGGTTTAATTCAATTTATAACATGAAATCTAAATAAAATTGAAAAGATGCTGGTGGTGGAGAAACATCTTGAAAAGCTGATGTATATTACGACTGCTCCTTCCAATTAACAGGTAATGTTTAGACTGTTTCTAAATGGTTCACAGTTTCCAGGTCTTATTGAATCCTTCATTGCAGTTTCTCTGATGTAGGCCTCATCACTACAATTAACGTTTTTGTTATTTTCATGTTGGACTAAGGTAATGTGATGTACTTAGGGTTACTGTTAATAACCACTTGAAACCATCAGTATAGCATAGCTAGCTATTCGCCTTTTAAGAGGGCAAAATCCATGTGACCATCTAATACCAGTGTTTCATGCACTGGCTTTCAACTTTCTTCTGGGTGCAATTAAAGATGCTGGTTGGTTATCTTTAAAGCCCTTAAAGTCCCAGGGCCTAGCTATCTCAGAGACAGGAAAAATATATATTTTGCAATTCTGCTTCTCCAAAAATACCACTTTGAAAGATTCTCAGTCCTAGGTCTTAGCCTCTTACAATAAGATTGGTGGAACTCTGCTAGCTCTTAGGCTTTTGACCATTAAAGGCAGTAGTAGCAGGGCAAAGCATGTTTCAGGCCTTAACTGGTTATCATGCATCAACTCTACCCAAGTCCAAATGCTCCTCTCCAAATAGTTCACTTAGTTCTGATTGCATAAGACGTGAAGCTCCTACTAACAGTAAACCAGAACAAGATGATTAACACATGATAAAAAAAGCCTTAAATAAAAATGAAAGAAAAGGTACAAAGTGAAAGACATCTCAAAAGATAATAGGTAAACTCTGAATAGAAGTAGGTGATAGAGAATCCTACAGCATAGCTTCTCAGAAAAAAAGAATTACAAAACAAGTAATTTTCTCTTCTCTAAAAATATAATCTATACAGGATTCTCACTCCTGAATAGTAAAAATTTGAGGGATGTCTTCCCCACACACCAAAAAAAAAAAAAATAGTACAGCTGCCACAATAAGGCCAATGCCTATAATATGACCTGGGAAAGTATAATTTTTTAAATAAATACATATAGAAGGCTACCTCTCAATAAATAACATCAGACATAATTCAAATCTTTAGAATCGATCACTAGTCAAGAAAGTTGATATAAAAGTTGGCTAACTGAAAATAAGAAACAAAAATACTTGGGGATGGGTGAGAAAGTTTGGCCACCTCTATTTGTGAACAAGTTCTAGAGCACTGAACTGTTGAAATCGAATTCCTCCTTGAAACCTGAATACAAGCAATAATTATATGTAAGTATGCAGAGAGATCACTATGTAGCTGCTACATATATGTCTGTGATGGAAACATTCCCGACCCAGGCAGCGGTGGTCATCTTATCTTGGATAGAGTGTGGACATGGCTTAGCTTCATGTCAGCCAGGTCATAGTAATGAGAAATGGAATCATACAGAACTTGAAGAATATTAGCAGGACAGTATGCTCAGTAAGGTGGAACTCCAATATCACATTGGAGAGGAAGTGAAAATGAGTCTATAGCAATACCACACCCTTATGAAATTTGGCATAAGGCAGTTCAGTCACTACAGCAGAAATTTACTTAATCTATGAGCTGAAGTCATTGCCACCAGAAAAATGAAGTTCCATGTAAGAAATTATTCTATGTAAATTACTTTAGGGGTCAAGAGAATACAAACCACCAGCCTGTGGACACCTTGCCTACAGATCTCTATCATGACAGAAGCTATCCAGTTAGAGAGAGAGGTCTGGAAATGGGATGGAACAAGGTGTCCTGGTTCTAAAGTGATTATCTGAGGCAAGACTCTCAGCTTGATTGGACTAACTTTGGCCATCTGCAGCAGAGCTGAGCACCTTATTTGTCTGAATCACCAGGAAACTTAAGATCAAACTTAGTCTTATCTAAGGTCTGCCATTAGCTTTGTTACAAATGGGATCAGGTGGAAGGCATAAAGGAACTTCTCACCCCAGGGAATGGAGAAGTTGTCACTTGCTAATGTGGTCTTTTCTTGCTAATGTGGTCTGTCATTCATAGAGGACCAGTAACTTCTTGTTCCAGTAAATGGTGAAGAGATTCACTTTCAGCATGGCCCACCGAAAGATCAGCTCTGCCCCCACAGTGATACAGAGACCACTTGTGAAGATCTATCATTGTTTGACTCAGTATGTCTATGATCATGTTCTTTTTCTCTGCTATGCATATGACAACCAGGATTGTCTTGAGACAGAATGCACTTTCCACCTGCAAGGCTTCTGGATATAAGAAGCCCTGAGTCTCACACATCCTAGTGCCCTTCTCCAATATAGAATGTGGTGGCCTGCTTGTCCGTTTGAATAAGGATCACCTTTTGGGGGCATTTTGAAGCTCCATACAGCATTCAGGATTAGAGCTGGGTGAAATTTTTTGGATGAATAATTTATTTGCTAAAATATGCAGTTTCAGTTGACCCAAAACTATTTGCAAATTTGAAGCAAATTGATTAAATAGTTTCAGCTACAAAAAAAAAATGAAGGAGGAATCCTCCTTATAAAGGTTACCCCAGTGGTTAGAACACTCACCTGGGCTGTGTGGGAGACACAGGTTCAATTCCCCTTGTGATGGGCTGTATCTACCCCGCACTGACCCATCTGGGGTTAACCGCACATTGTGGGACGAAGAGGCAGTGCCCCCTCATTCCTGTTGGGCATGCTCAACCTGGAGACAGGATATAAAAGGGAGTGACCCAGCTCAGTTTGGGCTGGCTGAGGAGAAGAGTGGACGCACGCTGCCAGCTCCTGCCAGGGAGTTACTGGAGCTACAGACTGTGAAGGCCAAACCAGTGAGATCAACAGTGAAACCCCCATTGACCCTGGAGGATGAAAGTGAGCCAGAAAGCCAATGTCCCCAGGGGAACTGACAGAGCAGGAACCAAGGGTAGGAAGCGATCCAGGAAACATGACTGTTAAAATAGGAAACTGAGCCAAACTGCAGACCACTGATTTCACAGGGCCCTGGGTCGAGACCCAGTGGAGAAGGGTAGGCCTGGATCCCCTTACCCCACACCTACCACAGGGTGTGGGCATTGCTCAGGGACTTTGGCTGTTAGGCCATGCTGCCCCAAGAGCAAGAGCAGCCCCAAGGAATCTGTCCAGTAGGCCAAACTGCCCTGCTTTGTAGGCTAAGACAGCAGTACCTACTCTAGCCACTTGAGTCATAGCCCCTTATTTGTGGCATGCAACCGGACACCCTGTGGCATTCTTCCTCTGCCTTATGTGGAGCAGAAATTTGAACTGGGGTCTACTCCATTGCAGAAGTACACCCTAACCAGTGGACTATGGGATATTCTAGTGTAGAGCTTTCTCAGTCTCTCCTGTTGAAGCTGTTCCACTTTGTATGAGTAGTCATTAGAGCAAGGACTTGAGTCATCCACAGCCTACGAAAGTGCTCTAACCACCAAGCTATAGAGTCATTCTCACACACTTTTCCTGGATCAGTGACCATTCATATTCATTCGCTGTGACAATTCATACATTCACATCACATGCCTCCAGATGTCCTAATGACACATATGGGTGAGCATAGCCTCAGTGAAGAGGGAGCTGAAATCTTTCTTAAGGACTGAGCTTTGTTCACTTAAATGTTACGAGTCTTAAAAGTACCAAGAGCCACCTTGGCAGAATGTGGCTTTGGAAAAAACTGCAAATTGTACGATTGTATGATTGACATGGAACTTGAACACAATCTTTGGCAAGAAGCTTGAAGTGAGGGGGGATGAAGGTAAAGGAAAAGATCTCCCAGGCCCCAGTTTTCCTGGACATGGCAACTGTCAGAAACCCATCTTTTAATATCAGGAATAAGAGAGTTTCTCATAATTCAAAAGATAAACACACAGAAGATTGAAGAATCAGCAGTAGAGCCCAGAAGGGAACTTTGTTTTCTAGACTGGACTAAACAGGAACCCTCCAAGGTAAAATGTTTTTGCACTTGTCCTTAAGGGTTTCCTTAAGTACATCCTTAAGGGTTTCTTTCTATGACTGCAGCAAACAACTTTTGTACCCTAAAGAACTGTGTCTAATGATTCTGAACTTCAAAATGGCACTTTGCTTTCAAAATTTTAAACCAAAGATTGTTCTGTTTCTGCATTCAGAACCTTAGCTCTACCCTAGCAGCTAACTACAAATTATCTAAAGCATCACCATCAAATAAGGAAATGGAAGACTTATTGGAATTTTGTTTAAACAGCATTAAGAATCCATTTGTAAAAGTTCAACAATATAGATTGCAAGGCCACGATACTAGAATAAAAATTATTCCATAATGCTCTCTCCATTTTTTTACTAGAAGAATCTGTAAGAAGGAGAAAATATTTGGAAGGAAGGCATTCTTAAACAATAACAAGATAGAAAATCTTTATGAGGGGGGCAAAGAGGTAAAACTGCTATGAAAGTGGGGCATGCCATGATATTTCATGTTAAATGGAAAATTCTTCATAACTGCCACCGGAAGAGATCCACAAACAAGTAGAGAAAAATCACTCTTGAATCTTCTGCAGCCAAGACATTTTCTTCAGTAAAGGCAGACCATTTCCCCAACCTATGCAAGTAGTGTTTAGATTGAGTAACCCCTCAGAAACACATTCCTCCTCCAACTTGTCATAGAAGTCAGATATGTGCTCACCCTCCTCTTTAGGGTCTAATTCATCAAGGTACTTAGAGCAGAAAAATCCTGAAGGAAAAAGCTGAAATGACAATGCATGAACCAAGGGCTCTAGGGAGGAGGACAATAAGGTAGGAACCAAAATAAAATTTAAACTAGAAAGAGTTAAGTGGTCAGAGATATCATCTTAGATATCTTAGGGCATTTAGCCTATGGGAGTTAGTTTTTAGATTTAGCATCTTTGAGTCAAATTCAGCAGTGGTGAAAACGGTGGCGTAAATTACATGATGGTCCTCAACAGATTAGAAAGCAGGTCTAAGTAGCATAGTGTAATGTATTCCAATTTCAGATTCAGTGGAGCTACAAAATGAATATAAATTACTGACTTGGAATGCTGTGGACCAAATTATGGCCTTGGTACAAATAGTCAAAACTCCCATTGAAGTAAACTTGTTATGCCTGCTCACCCTGGGGATAAACTTGGCCCCAGATGTGTTGACAACAGTGGGATCCTAAGCAGGAGGATCAGGGGACCTGTTTTATCTTACACCCTCCTGTTTTCATCCTTTTAAAAATGAAAAAGCTTCCTCCCCTGCTTACATCACCTTGAAATTTAACCAGGAGGCTTCCTTGGGAGCTTCTATTTTAAGTATTGGTTATTTAAGTCTTCTTGGGGACTGGATAGTTCAGGAAATAAACTTCATGTCTCTAAATTATTATCTAAATTACAGTGTAATCACCTGACAAGTGTTTGATTGCTTATGTGGAATGACAAGATGTTCCCTGCCCAGTTCTGTATGGACAAATATCATTACAGGAGCCCCAATTCCCAACTTCACTAACTAGTAGTTTCAGCAGAATGCAAGGTAATTTGGCCCAAATTTGCACAAGTGACTTAGGTTCACAACTTGAAATACCTAGAGCCTGATTTTCAGAAGTACCCCTTTGACTTGAAGAGAAGTGGTGGTGTTCAGCACCTTTGAAAATCAGGTCCCAGGTGTCTGAAACAAAGCATGAAAAAATTGAGCACCCAAAATTAATGAACATGTAAAAAAAAAAAATGTAGGCTTTAACTACCATCACAGGTAGCTTCAGCCAGGTCAAGATCAATCCAAACTAAAAGGATAATGTGTGAAAAATTGCACTAATGACTGCTTGTGCTGTACCTATTTTGTGGATAAATGGAGGATATCTGTTTCCAGAACTGGTACCAAAGCACTTTTCAGAGTATTTCCTCAATTAAACTAAACACAAAACCCAAACAGTCCCCTGAACATTCACCTGTCTCTAACAAGAAAAGATCCAGAGAAAGGCCTATATTGGCAGAGAGTGAATAGAAAATAAACTGCATTATGAGAGATGACTGGAGAATATTTCACTTTAATTAACTTTGCAGTATACGAAATGTACAATGTGACTGAAAAATGCATTCCTGGTACAGTATGCTGCAACAAGAACACTTCATGACAGAACTATGTATTTTAAATCACTTCTGTAACTTCAGTACAAAAATGTGTTGTTCTAATGCACTGCCACTCCCCTTAAGAAACAAAAAACCCACTTAGTTTTTTTCAGAAGTTTTACACCAAGAAGAAAGTCTTTAAATCGTACCTTTTTTTTCTCTTTGTTCTCCTTGTCCTCAGCATCCCTCTGCCAAATACTTTTCATATCAAAATCAAAAGGCCCTCTTTTTGTTTCATAGTTACCATTGAGCTGATCAGACTTAAACTCTTCATGAACCATGTAGTCAGGCACTGAGGAAACATGGGCTCTGTAGACCAAGGTTTCACAATTATTTTTCTATATTATTTTTCTATTGCAAAAGTATTAATTCAAAACATAAAATTTAACAGACTAACAAAAGAGAAATACAGTGGATTATAAAAAGTTACACAGCCTCCATGGAATCAGAGCATACTTACTTAGATTCATCATCTGGTGGTGGTTTACTGTGGTGTGTATACCAGTCAGGTGCAGCATAAGCTACTGGGGATGTTTTTCTTGTACTAGGTGTAAAATGTTTCAACAAATCTTAAGTTAAAAAAAAAGATACATTAATGCTGTAGTATTTTCCAGGGTTATAAATTAATATTTTTATGTTGCTGTTATCTTTTACTAAATTTTTTTTATAAAAGAAATATTTCTATTTGTAGCCCTTACTGAGATTCAATTGGACAATCAGAACTTTCACTACTTTTTAATCCTAATGGGATAGTCACCAGCAGTGATTACCCACAAAGCCAGCAAGTGGCAATAGTTTTGACGGTCTGGACAATTCATTTTTTCAATATTATTTCCAATACTGTATTTCAATTGTATCAGGTATCTCATTTTACATATCTTGACATACAGTTGTATAATACAGTGCCTGATAATACATGTGGATGTATTTCTCATTTTACAGACTGGGAATCATTGAAACTCTGTGGAAAATTTATGTCCATTTAAGTTTTTCACATCTTCAATGAGCTGAAAACAAAATATATGTATAATACAAACTATTTACTTGCAAAAACTGAAAAGTAATTTTAATAAAACCTTTACAGACTTTTTCAAATTTTATGACAATTTCACCTCCACCCCCCCCCCACAAGTTTCAATGCTAAAAGGTATATTTTTACAGTTCTAATAAACCTTTCAAAATTCAATACCCAGGCTGATACTTTCTCTGTTAAACACAAAATAAATTGTTCAGATCCCCATGTAATGCAGCTAACCTGCCAAATAATTTATGCTGTGGTTAGAATATATCAGCATTAACATACCCAGATTTTATCATAAAGGCTTAACAATGTTCTAAATTCAATTTAATAGGACTAGAAAAAGCGTTCCGGATCAGATGGAATATATTTTAAGAGCTAATCAATGGATTTTAGCCTAATAATAATATTTTAGCCATGAAAGATGGAAAAGGAAGGGCACAAGCTAGAGCAGAAAACTGTTAAGACTCAAACAATGAAGTATTGGGGTTATTGCATGTGACATTAGATTATAACGATTACATTTACCGATAAAGGTTTTTGCATTGTTTTCTTGAGGATTCAACATATTTCAACAACATACAACATTTCCCTTTCTACAGTTTCCCCTCAAATGTATCACTTTTAAAATTGCTGGAACAGACTCCAGTTATATTTGTCAAATGTTTAAGCTTCCCAAACCACCAATAATGCTAAAATGAACTGAGATTCACCAGGTCGGCCTCCTTGCTTTGCCAGCTTTACATATTCTGAGTCTGTGTCTTTGATCCATTTCCTGCGGCTCCCAAATTTAATTTCATTGTGATACTCTCCGAGGTTGCTCAGACCTGGGATCTGGGATGGTGGAGGGATTGGGATTTCTGAGTTCACAGATTTCTCTGATCGTTTCAGTGGAACATGATAGTACCATTCTATAATCATTAAGAAAAAAATATTTAGGTTAAATGTTTACTGATAACATTACTGTGTCAAAGAGCAGATTTAATAATCAAAGTCCACATTAAATTACAGTGTAACATACTACATTTTATTAAAGATGTAATAGATATGAAATGCTCAATAAGAGAATAATAAATACTTGCTACTTCTAGGTGATCACACAAAAACTGTGATACCACTGTAGAGCCTTGTTTAAAAAGCCTTTAATGTTATTTCAAATTGTCACTGCAACTGTCCTACAATACAATGTTATGTATCTTCCCCATTCAGAGAACTAGGTTAATGAATACCGAGATCAGTAAAACGCAAGAAGACAGCAGTGGAAAGCATTAATTCTTTGGTGACCTTTCTTCCTTCAACTATTAACAAAAAACACTTTTCTGCTATCAACTCTTTACTTGTTTTAGTTAACTACTGAAATATAATCTGAAGAAATATAATAATTAAATTAAACAGAGCACTAGAGAGCAAGCCACTTTCACAATACACCTAATTTCTTCTAATTTAAGATGAGTTCCAAGCATTGCATGGCTGAGCAATCTTTCAGTGCACTAGACCCAGTCAGGTTAAGTCATTTGCTGGACATCTCTGCATACTGCTGAGGTGCCATTTTAAAAGACAACCTGAAATCAAGTCAGTTTCAAAAAGTGAGCTGGGAGTAGCTTGATGTACTACACCTGCCCTTGAATCTGACTCCCAAATTTTGTAGTTTTACACTCACATTTTCCTTTCCCCCCCGCTCAAACATTTCCACTCCCATTACTGTAGGAAAAACCCCCACAAATAAGGGAAATGGACGGCTGACTACATGGGAAAAATGGTTAAACAGAATAGACACAATTGTGCTGTCAAAGCACAAAGTAAATATACAGGAAAAAAGAGAAGATTTTTATTTACTAATCTTAAATTATAACAATCTTAGATGTTACTTATAGCAAGTGTAGGTAAAACATGTTCAGACAAAACTGTGGTTTTTAAGTAAACAGATCTTCCATTGAAATCAGTTAATATATTCCATGTAATGGCAATGGAAGGAGTGTATAAATGACTATTAAAAAATAAAAGATCTTTCCTTAGTGGCAGAGGCAAGATGCATTAGATTGTTGGGTTTTTTTTCACCACACTTACTAATTGGTCCACCTGGAATGGGATGTTTCATCGAACTGCTCATTATCAGGAATCTTTTCATCCTAGTTAACTTGCTGGGTAAGTACCAACTTGGAACCCTACCTTATTCAAACATATTTGTCGTGTTTGTATTTAATACTTTAAGCCCAGCGAGTTTTCAGAGTTGAATTACAAACTCTTTAAAATTAGTTTATAATGGAAAATGCCAATGGCCTACCCATTGGCAACAGAAACAATTTGAGACCTTCTGGGAACCTCCTGTAAAAAGGACCCGTGACCCCAACTGAACAGGCTACCCTATGTTCTGATTTATAAACCAGACTGTGAAATTTTAAGGCTGGTTTTATCTCAGTTGAGTTTCTCTCAGGCAGCACTGGGGAAGCAGAACATCTGCACGATTTAGAAAGCAACAAAATAACTCTTGGTATGGAAAGAGCAAAAGGTTCAGTCAGGAGCAACAAACAAAAATCATGCTCAAATCTGTAGGAAGCGTCTGAGGAAGACATACTGCGGGGGGCAACTCTGTGATGTACCTTGGAATCTCCCATAAATCCTTAAAACTCTGTTAATAAACTAGAACAAAGAAAACACAAACTACTGATTTACAAGACAAATATTATTCCATCACTACAAATTCCACACAAACCACTACATTAAAAAAATTTAGTTAACTTCATCAAAGTAAGTTCACTTCCTTCTTTCACAATGCTATTTATAAGAAAAAGTGACTTTTAGATCTGAGTTGACTAATTTTCTTGAAAAATGGTGACTGCTGCTGGGTACTACAGTATGCAAAACTGAAGTTTGGGAACAACCTTGGGTCTTTAGGCCAGTACTGAGGCATGTCCTGGAGATGATGTCATGATGCTCAGGGCAGATAAGGTCACTTGGTAAAGTGCATCTAACTAGCTGGATTATAGTGTGGGTGGCATTAGCTTCTGCCTTGACACAGGAGAGGGGGGTGTTCCAGACAAGGAAAACAGATGAAGGCCAAAATGGGAAATGGTTGTTTCCTCACATTGGTGAGATTGAAGAGCATCTCAGAGTCCTGTCTTGAATGTCTTGTGTGACCAGGCTAGAAAGAACCCAAAGGAAATTCCACTATCAGCCTCATCCTTCCCCACCAAAAATATCAAGGATTACGGCATTGAGGGATGCATGTTCCCCACAGCATAAAATGCTGATATAGTAGATAGTATATGTGAAGTCTCCCTTCTTAGGAAGCAAAGGGTTCCATTCATTTTTCATACCCAAGATATGTCAAAATGTACATTTACATAAGGAGAGCAAACAGTATACTTGCCACAAGGAGCATATCGGTTGGGGGGTCCAGAGGGCTCTTTGCTCATATTTCTCATTCCTCAAGCCTATATGAAGGAAGGGTCAAAAAAGGAAAGACAAAAATAGTTATTTAACAGGAGCGTAGACAACTTTTTTTTTATTGGGGCAGGGCTAAAGTTAATAATAAAATAACAACTGTTGAATATCGCTTCAGTGAGTAGCTTTGTACCAAAATTAAGTCTGCCCACTTTTAATTAAGTGAGATAAACAAACCTCTGTTCCAGGCTCAGGGGTTCCTGATTTGTTGTTCTTTTTGAGGGGCTACAGCCCCTCCAAATCCCCAGTTGTATTTGCCCCCGTTTAACCAGATGGTGCATAGCCCTGCCCCTCTCCCCAGGCTCCTAGTGCCCTACAGTCTGGCCATGACCAGCATAAGGCAGGGGTCCCCTGAACTAAAGCAGCCACCTGGGCATGGTGGGATGTAGCCTGGAAGCCCCCACCCCGAACAAGGGAAAGGGCTCAGCTTGACACCCCCCACCCAACCTGGTACCCACAGGGAGGCACAGACACTCCACCCAGACAGACAGACACCCCCACCCCCTCAAACACCCCTACCCCCTGACAGACACGCCACCCCTCCCCCCACTTTCGGGGTCCCTTACCAGGAGTGCGGGGGGGGGCAGGTCCCTTTGGAACTCGGCTCACGCGCGCGCTGGAAGGAACCGACCCAGCACCACGCCGCCTTCAGCAACAACCACAACAATCCCCGTTTCCACGGCAACGGGGACTCTTTCAGGGCCGCGCGTGGCGGAGGCGGGACTCCAGGGGCCAGAGGGAAGGGACGCGGACGGGCCCGCGAGCCGCTACGGACGTCGCGCGCGCGAAGGGGAGGGTGAGTGAGTGAGTAACGGGACCCGCCTCCCGGCAGGACCCCGCCCCGATGGGCTGCGGCCTCAGGCGTGGCCGTGGCACGTGATGGGCACCGGCACCTGTGCGGGTGGTGTTAGAGCCTGGGTGGGGCTGTAACCCGTGGTCCGTCTACACTGCATAGCCCTTAGGGACCGCATGTAGCGCACAGGCAGCGCCCGCCCCTAGCACCGGGATAACTTGCATCTGATGAAGTGGGCATTCACTCACGAAAGCTTATGCTCCAATACTTCTGTTAGTCTTAAAGGTGCCACAGGACCCTCTGTTGCTTTTAGCAATGTAGAGGGTGAGGCGGGGCTTAGGAGGCTATTATTAATTGAGCTGGCTCCATCAAAGCTAGCTCGGGTATGCCCAGGCTTGCTGCAGTTGCACCTCTGATTGCAGCATACCTTGTACTGTGGCCCTGTTGAGTGCACTCCATGGTCTGTTCTGCCTCAGGGTGCGCTAAATGTGATTGGCATGTTGGTGACTGTAGGGTTACCATATTTTAATTTTTAAAAAGGAGGACACTCCATGGGGCCCTGGCCCCACCCCAACTCCGCCCCTTCCCCGCCCCACTCTGCCCCCTCCCCTGAACGCTCCGCCCCCTGCTCCTCCCCCTCCCCTGCTTCCCGCGAATCAAATGTTCGGGGGAAGCCTGAAACAGGGAGGCAGCAGGTAAGCTGGGGCGGGGTGCAGCGCGGCCCAGTCCGGCCCCCCTGGCCGAGCGGCTCCCTCCGGCGGCTGGCCCGGGCCAAGAGGCTCTGGCCCCGGCGTCTCCCGCCCGGCTCGGGCCCTGGGGCGC